GTCGAGTGAGTGTTTCCTCGCGTGCCTGCGTTCGTTCGAACTCGGTGAATCTTATTGATTGAAGGCTCTTCGTCAGGCGGCCCTCGGTCCAATAACTCTTCATGGACTTCGGCGTCGTCGTCCTCTCGCTCCGCTCCCAATCGCTTTGGGAAGGACCCGGAAACGCCACGCGGCCTACCCCCGATCCCGTCGCCCATCCCAGAAGATGCGTCGATCTATAGTGTTGAGCGACGAAGAAGTATACAGATACCGCATAATCTCTCAGTAGACTCGTTGTTTAGTCAACCGAGCTCGATTAGCACGACGACCGGTATGTTGAAGTTTTTTTCCTCCGAGTACGTGCTTTTATTGCGGTTACTGATTCGTCCATAGTTCCGAACGCGACACTGATTGTTGGCGCCCTCCTCGCCGAAATCAAGGAGGGGCGACAGCGAGACGTGATCGACCCGCTCATCTCAAATATCCAGAAGCTCGGTCGTCGGTCTCACAAAGACGCGCAGAAGTTGGTGACGGCGGGTGCCATACCAGCCCTCATCCTACTCCTGAAAACCCGCGCCGTCTATGGTATCGGCTTAGAGATCGTCCTCATTGCACTGGGCGTCTTGACGTACGTGCGGTTGTTGTCTCGAATGCCAGCTGCTCTGCTGATAACGATAACTATCGCCTCAGACACGACCCCATCACCGCAAACACCATCTACCGCACCAACACAACCGCCACCCTAATGGGCATCGCCGACGCCGCGCAGACGGACAACATCACCGCGCTCGCGCTGTGGTGCCTCGCGCGGATCTCCCGCAATCCCGAGATCGCAGCGGGGCTCCTGAAGCAGAACCTCGGCCGGCTGCTCGTCAGCAAGGGTATTAAATCCGGGCAGTGGCGGACGTCGCGCATGGCGGCGTGGTGTCTCGGTGCCATGATCTGCTCCGACGACATCGCGGATGTCCTGGCGGACATGGGCCTCGTGCCGACGCTGTGCGAGCACCTCCAACGCTGCTCCGACGCCGTCGATGCTACTCCGGCAGACCAGAGCGCCGCGCTATACGCCGTCGCGCGGATATCGCGGTCGATTAAGATCTCGAAGGGCCTCGCGAAGGGCGGCTGCATCGAGATCCTGGCGCACCTCTTGAGTACCGCGGAAAATCCTGAGGTGCTGAAGTGGTGCTCGCGCGCGGTTGGGTGCTTGATGCGCCCTAACAGCAGTGATATGGCGAAGGTTCTGTTGGACGCAGGGATTGCTCGGGGACTCGCGCGCCTGCCCAGTATGCTGGCTACGGAGGACGTTGAGCCGCTCGGCGCGTTCGCGTTTGCCATTCAGCGTTTCTCTTGCGCGGAGTGGGGCGGGGGAACGCGGAAGGCGCTGGTGGATGCGGGCGTCGTGGACTCGCTCCTAGCGGCCTTGCGCACATCCGCGGACGAACCACACCCCCAGGTTCATATCGAACTGGCGTACGCGATCGCACTGCTTTCGGACGTGGGTGGTTCGGGGATCCGGCGTGAAATTGTGAACGCTGGTGGGATCGATATCCTGAAGCAAATCAGTGCCTCGGCGGTACGGTCTGACGTTGCGAAGGCGTGCAACTTGGCCGCGACGAGTATCAAGGGGAATATATGGTCGCGAAATACAGGTTCGCTCGCCTGTTCTATTTTGTGGAAGGTCGTTTACTCACCTGGATCCATATCTAGCTTCTGCGAAGGCAGCGCTCGCCCACGAGTGGTCGGGAGGCTGTCCAGACCATCTGCCCGAGTGCCCCGTCGGAAGGAACGAGTACCGCTGATATTTATTCAGATATTTATTGGCAGGGGCACTTTGCATGGCTTCGTGCTGGACGCGACGGCAGTATATCAACTGGATCCATTCGTTACTCTCCTTTCTTGTAGAAATGTACCACCCCACGAACGCGGTAGACTAATAAAAGTCCATGTTGTAAAGCGTTCTTGGTTGACTTCCGGCTTGACAGAAGGATTTTATTTACAGTTGAGGCGAGCATATATCTACATGTAGTCTTGCGGCAGGAGTGAGTTGTACTCTCGTCCGACCGTCGACCTGTTATCCTGCCTAGTGGTCATCACATGCTCCCCAGGGAGCTCCATATTCCCTCTCAACCAATCAGTCGCGCCATCGTACCACCGGCCGTTCCGATAAAGAAGGCCGTCCAGATGAGTTGAATGCTACATAGGAATGAATGAGTCAGGTGGTTTAACCACTTTATCATTGGGCATTGCCAAAAAAAAAGAACGAACCGCGTCGTAAACCTCCCATCTCGCACTCGCCCAGCCCTCCTCCCCGCATCCATGCTCTTCGATAATGGATATGAGCGCGCGGAATAGGTCAACCATATGATCTGGGTCCCAGAACCACAGTCTTCGTCCGCCGAAGAATTCGTGCAGCACGAGTCGGGCGCGTATGCTCGATAGCGCCAGCACCTCGCGGAACACATCAAAAGACGGGGATGGTTGGGGAGGATATGTGGGCCGTCGGGGGTACGTGCCGGCGAAGGGGAGCAGCGCGGAGAGGGCCACCATCTTCTCGGACTGGGATAGATGACACCATTCGTGCGATGATATGTTAGACGGGAAGGAGAGGACTCGGGTGGCGGCGTCCCAGAGCCATTTGCAGTGCAGGGAAATGAATTCTTGTTCTAGCATTTCCAGTTGCGCGGGGACTTGACGGTACATCTTGGTGATGGGTGGGAGTGATGGAGCAGGAGGAGGAGTGTTGATTTTTTCAGGGGCCGAGCCGACTCTGGTGGAGAGTGGTTCGCGGGTATATAGCGGTAAGGGGTCGGGACCGTTGTAGGACTTCGCTATGTCATTGAAGCTGCGAAGCGTCAGGGAATTGAAAGGTTGTGTGTGATATGCAAGACTTGCTCGGATACGAACGCATATGTGCCTCGATGCTTCCTCCAAGCCGCTCGTTCAACATCTCGTTCGTTGTAAAAGGTGACCAACTTGGCCTGCCCGTTCGGCGTTTGCTTCCGAGCAGTGACTCTGCACGACCATGTAAGGCGTTGTATTATCTTCTGGGAGATTTGCGGCTCACGGGGATTCCGTGGAAAGCAAACCCTCGAGGTCTGATGGTTCGAGTTTATAGCACTTGAGGGCTAGTGTACGGGATATCTAAGAAGCAATGGCTTAGTTCACGAGCATCGGAGATGTGGAAAAGAAGACACACCTTCTTTGTCCTGTGTACGCTGGACTTTTCCCGCCGACTCGGCGGCAGAGTCGTTGTTGTGGTTGATATCGTCCGAACTGCCGCACCACTGCCAGCGGGTAAATCGTCCCATTCTTCCTGCTGGATCATTGGAGAGAACGTCGTCTAGGCATAATAGGATCCGTTCGCACGGTGAAATTTAAGCCTCGACAAATGATGGTTGGAATGGTGTTGAGAAAAGAGTTTCGCACTCTTGCCGAAGTTCGGCCTCGATTCGAAATCAAACAAGGTAACTCTCATCTCCATCGTCCGTCTGACGCGTCATGCCAGGAGTCAAGCCTTCCACCGAGGGCAAGAAAACGAAACCCAACCAGTCGAAAGAGCACGTTGACGAGTCTCTGTGGCGAGCGTCGACAATTGATCCAAATCGAACGGTTCGTCGTGCTTACTCTCACTCGCAGGTTGATGTTTCTTGAATCGCTGACCCGGCGAACAGATTTCCGCGACCCACGCCGTTTCTCAATATAGGCTGACCTCGGGGGTCCTCAAATTGTTGCCCTTTACCACGTCTCAGTGAGTAGGCAGGTCGCCTCGCGGAAAGTCTTCCATCCAACTGACTCGATACAGAGTCACGCTGCCTTACGAACAGAGGACGGTTACTATGACCCTCTATAAGGAGCATTTGGCTTGGGAGAAGCACGGTGGACCAGAGGCGTTTGACGCGTAGTATGCCTGCCATTTTGTTCCCCTTCCTCACTTCGCTAATATTCTATAAATCTCTAGTCTCAATATGCTTGAGGAACGGCACCGTAAGAAAGACTCCGGCAAAATATTCCAGGCGCCTGAGGCCTACAGACGAGCAGGTGCCGGCCTAGCGAGCCTGAGTCAGGTGGCGCCGCCACCCCAAGTCGGAGCCGCGTCCCACCGTTCCCTGAGGGAACGGTTCGTCCAACAGAACCGTCTCTGGTTGTGGGAGGCCGCGAATGACGTTCTGGCTGCCTCTGCGAACGAGTTTGGCGACGAGCGGCTGAGTCTTGCGGAGAAGCAGGCCGCGCTTGCGCATCCCTTCCTCACAGGCCCAAACGCGTACCCTCCGCGGCCGGCAGCCCTCGCTCCTGCCAGTCCGTCGTACAGTAGGCGTCGTACAGTAGGCTTCGTGAGGTGCTGGCTCGCGCTCCCTCGAAACATGATCCGAACACCAGAGGCCAGCTGGAGATCCACGAAAATATGTTCGAGGGAGTGACAACGTACTATTGGAAGCACGGCTTCATGGTTGAACTTCTCAGTTCGCTCATCGCGGTCATAGAAGAGCACGGAATTGAGGGGATCGGGTGGAAGAGCGCGCGTTGGGAGGTTTACCACACGGTGCGCTTCATTCAATCCACTGGTTGAATTTCCGTTTACTGACCTGTTTTCTGGATTTATTTAGTACACCCGCTGCATCCAATCACTCTACTTCAGTTACGAGGATAAATGCTGGTGTGATGATGCCCAGGATTGGCTGAGTGGTCGAATGGACCTTCGCGGGTCCAGGACAATCACGACCCGTCAAGACAACCAGTCGGATGTGGGGCGAAAATATAATCAAATGCTTCCGTTCCTCCAGCTGGGGGAGTGATATTGGGCGGCCGTGGAGGCCATGTGGAACTAATGCTGCATTCTTGTATCTGAATCGAACTTCTGTATTTATTTATTCCATCTCCTGGACGGTGCAGAATTGAGCATGTAAAACCTTCAACCTACTTGGAACTCTGCATAAGATGACGCCTTGAGGTCAACTCGACGAATTCGACGATGAAGGGGTGGATAGAGAACAGGAAGCTCGACGCAAAAAAGACCAAAAGAACTCTCGACCTGGGAGTCGAACCCAGCTCTGCCGCGATCGCGGAATTTGACAAGCGGCTGTACTAAACCGATATACTAGTCAAGACATGCTATTGGGGATGCCACCAAGACTAGGAGCACACACGTCCCAGACAGAAGATTCAGAATCCTCACTGACACTTGCCACTCGCCTCGTCAGTTTCGAATACTTTTTATTGGCACCTCCTCGTCCTGCTACCCGACCGACACGATTTCCGACCCGCAGTCCTGCTTTCCACAATCTCCGAATACCCCGAGGAAAAGTATATCAAAATCAAAAACGCGCCCGCTGGTCCATCCATACAACTGATACAAGGTCCATAACTCTTGAAGATGGCTGGATGAAGCCCGAGTCCACGCCGTTCTGCTGTGAACTGTCCGGCATGCATGCCTTGCGAGAGGAAACGGGCCCGGTTTTCCAATGAGCTGAGTGAGTGGGACATACCCAAGAGTCTCGAGGTGCGTCTGCGTTTCTGGCGACACCCTTCAGGCATTGATAATGATAACATTTGTCGCAGCCAGGTAGTTTTAAAAATGCATCCCAAAGCATCGTGGATTCAGACGCCTCCTGCCGCGCTTTCGACATGGTACTGCCAGGAAGACCCCCCGGCCCCGCGTCTGCGTCGGCTATGCCCGCGCCTTTTCTCAAGATCGCCTGCGCTCCGATGGAATCTCTCGACGGAGTGTGGCCTACCTCGTACTTCGGTGTGTACATACCGCTAGTCCTCGGCCTCACGGCGCAGATGACGGTTCAGGTTTGTCTCGACGTTGGCGAAGTGTCGACGAGCTTTGTGCCGCACAAAAGAGAAGATTTGGTGGCCTGGATCCATACCTGTCCCGCACCTTCACCTTCATCACACTATCCACTCCAGCCTTCCACTGTGCAGCCGTCCTTCCTGGACGGACCTCGCGGGGAGCTTCCTCGATAGCGTCCATCCAGCGCTCTTTATGAAGGGCTGCGCGAGCTATCGCACTCGTCTGGTCCTTGGGCCCATCCATCCACATCCCACGAGCTGGTACTCTCAGCGCGCGTAGGCTCCACAATCTCCTCCTCCTTCCTTCGGAACGCCCACCCGGCGCCCCTCGCCGACATTGAAGTATAAAGAAGCGATATCCCCGACGACGGGAACGGCTGACAGCCGCCGGAGGTCCTGCACGCGATGTAACCTAGACCGACGCCGCACACGACGAGACTCGCCGCCCACGCGGGATTGAAGAACGCAGGCCGCCCTCATACACGCAGGGCGATACATCGGCCGATCTGCGTCGGGCAGCGTGTGCTCCGCTTCGTGTCAATGGGCAGCGTCTTCCAGCGCATGTCGAGGACTCGAGTGTCGATGTCGACTGCGGCGACGTCTTCCGCGATGCCCTGGCATTCCGCCCGAACTCGATTCCGGCCTCCGCCTCCGCCTCCGCCTCCACGGGCACCAGGACCGATCGAAGCTGTGGGCGGCGGCCTACTGCCGCTACTCGTACTTTTGCGACCTCCACGACGACACGACGAGAAGGGTATCCACAGTATACACATCGCTGCTGTGCTGCATAGGCGCTCCCTCGGTATGCTGCACGCGACGTGCCCCCTCGCCCAGGATTGGATTCACGCAAGCGCATCGATTCGCCGCCGGGACTGAAGAACCTACGATTTCTACGACATATCCGTCATTTCTGTGTCGGGCAGGCCCGCGTCGAGCATGCTAGTGACTAGCCCGCCGCATTTTCGGGATCCATCCTGTCATGAGCTTTGTGCGCACTGCACTGCGGCAATGTCGTCTCGCATGCCCTCGTCCGGACGGACGAGCACCATTCGTGATGGCTACCGAGCAGAGCTCAAGACGACGCTGCCACTCTCAGGAGCGCCCATCTGCTCGCGCTGGACTCGGCGGTGGTGGGGCGGGAGTCGACTCTTCTCGTGGACCACCACGGGCAGGAAGAGCGACGTCGACCAGAACGTGCGGCCGGCCGACGCAGTGACGGACACACTGCTTGGATCGAAGACCGCAGGCCCCCCGCTATCGGGTGTGCATGCACGACAACGCGTGCGCTGTGTAGTTGTCGATGTCGGGCGGTGGTGTGTGACGCTCGCGCGAGCCCGCCGCATGGCAGATGCGTCTACGTAAATGTCGTGGGCTTTGTGCGCACTGCGGTGTCGTCCGTGCTTGCCGTCGAGCAGGGGGGCTGAGACGACGCCACCCTCAGACGACGACGCATCACTTTGTTGGGATCGGTCGGATGGGTCGGGTGGTGGAGGGGGATTCGGAGACTCTGCTCGTGGGCTACCCACAGGCAAGCCGTGTATCCGAGGCTCGCGCTCGCGCCTCCCGCAACCGCCTCGTTCTTGTGACCCATCTACGCCCAGTGCGAAAGCAGAAGGCGGTCTATTCGGTTTCCTGGTCCCGAAGCACACATCCCCCCGTGCTCCTTCCACGACTTCGTACCTCTCTCCCGACCCCGCCCTCGCCGCCCGTCTCCGCCTCACCGCTCATGCTCTCACCCACGCCCCGGCTGGGGCCAAGCTGCCGAGAGAAGGCAGAACTCGGAGGGAAAGTGGATACGCCAAGGGACTACGGAGCGGACTCGCCAGGACAAGCGAGGCGAGCGGGTTTGCTGTACGTCGAGGCCGCTGTTGTTAAGCAGAGGCGAATGCAGAGGGCACCCATTGTGCTAGTAGTACTACCGCCCCCGCGCACTTGATAGACTCGTTCCCCGCGTACGATCTTCCGAGCCCTCGACCGCTTGGTTGCTGACGGTCGAGGTGATGAAGCTCTTATCAATGGGCTGTTGGCGCGCGACCCGACGGGACGCGGTGGCGGATCACACATCCCGCTAGGCCGCCGACATCACTGTGGGCGGTCTGTGAATTGCGGAGCGTGAGGTGTTGATTGCCACGCCGCGGAGCTCCCCACACTTCAGATACAATCCCGGAGCACTGTGTTCCTTCGGCAGTGCCTCTACTTAGACTGCCCGCATCCCAATTCGGCCACGACGCCCGCCGCCCAAAATGGGAATTTGTTGGGGACGTCGATGAACGTCCCGCAGTCTGAACGGTGTTGGTTCCTCGTGTATGTAGACTGTAGACTCGGGTGTAGCGCATTCATCCGTTGGAAGGCCTAATTCGTGTGGAAGCTATAGTACGTGTTCTGCGGATTCCTTTGAATAAATCTCACTCCTCGTTTATCAGATCTGAGAATCGACTCTGTATTAGAAGATTCGACGTATACATACTAAAAGTACATTATTACTTATATTCGTTGTTACTTCTTCGTAAAAGTCCTCGACCAGCTCCAACTCCCAACTTTCACGCAACCCCCTTCTCAGCCTTCTCCCTCCCCACCAACCTCCCGCGCTCCCTCTCACTCTCCGTCCCATCCACACTATCGTCGTCCGCCTGGTACAGCTTCTCCGCCGTGACGTCTTGCCTCAGGCCGAACTTGCGGATTCCATACGGGACTTGGCGGAGCCCGTACGCGGCGTGCTCGCGCATGGGGATGGAGAACACCTGGTCGAGCTCCTCGAGGGTGCGCCCTTTGGTCTCGCGTACGAAGAGGAGGATGAGGACCCAGAGGACGCTGTTCGGGCGTTTTTATTAGCCAATCATGTTGAAAGTGAATACGAGGAGGAGAACATACCAGCACCACGCGGCGTAGAAGCCGAACGCGCCTTGCGGTTTGAAGGCGGCGAGTAACGACGGGAAGGTGATTCTGCGGGCGGGTTTAGATGCGGCGTTGCATTTTATGGTTGGGCACTCACGATAATATGAAGTTGAAAAACCAGCAGGTTGCCGTGGCGAAGCTCATCCCAAGATCGCGGATGTACAGCGGGAAACTGATGTTCATTAGATTGAGCGGCGGGCATGAAAAGGTGGACAACTCACGCTTCGGCCGAGTATGTGAAGGGCACTGGACCCTCTCCGGGAGAATAGAATACACCGAAGAGATCTAAATAACTCAGGTATGAGCGAAATGCGGATTTGAACTGAGATTAATCGGTACAGACAGATTCCGAGCGAGACGCCCGCAAGTTGCCCTTTGGGCGTCGGGGACCAAAACGAAAACCCAGTGATGAGAAGACAGATGGCCATGAACGGAAACGTGAATAGGAGGAGGTTCCTAGAAGAATTCAACATCAGCTTCGGTTCAAAAAAAAACCAACATCGAATGAATCCTCCTCACCTCCGCCCAAACGAGTCGATTGTGAATATCGCGGGGATGGCAAAGAGGAAGTTGATGAGTCCGAAGCCGAAGGACGAGAGGAGGGAGGCCATGCGCGAGAATCCGGACTGGAAGAAGACGGTCGAGGAGTAGTAGGCGATAACATTCACCCCGCAGAATTGCTGGCCTAAAAAACCAAAATTCGACCACGTCAGTACCAACTGGAAAGAGAACTGCTTTCAGAGTACCCACCGAACATCACGATAAAGCTCGCAACCGCAGCGTTACGATTCCGCGGCACAGTCACCATCTCCCAAAGCCTATTCCGCCCCGTAATAACCTCCTTCTCCGCCTCCAACAGCACATGAATATAATACAAATCCCTCGCAGCCTGCACCGGGCTAAACCTCAACCTCGCAAGCTCCCCATACGCCGCCTCGTACCTCCCGCGCCCAATCAGCCACCGGGGGCTCTCCGGCGCGAAGAGCACCTGGCAGCAGACGATGAGCGCGGGGACGCCCGCGGAGGCGAGCATCAGGCGCCAGTTGAGCCCGGTGATGTTGGCGTGGTCGGGGACGTTGAAGAACGCGACGTCCATGAGGTCCCCGAGGGCGATGCCGAATGCGGTGAAGAATTGCCAGAACATGACGAGGGAGCCGCGGATGTTGGCTGGGGAGCATTCGGCGGAGTAGACGGGGACGGTGGCGGATTTGGGGCCGATGCCGAAGCCGCTGAAATAAGTAAGGTTGAGTTGGGCCAGTGTCAGTTGAGACTAAGGAGAGAGTCGTACAGGAAGAAACGTGCGATGAAGAGGTGCCACCAGGTATTTGTGACCGCACTCCAGATACATGTGAGGAAGCTGAAAGCGTGGTTGTTGAATATTTCGAACAACCGAGTGTTCAACCTCACCGGCGCACCT